AAATGGAAGTACAGCATCCTTTTTATCATCTGCTGTTCGTTGGATCTCCCGTAAACAGTTCCATAGGGCCATAGTTCTAAGGGCGAAACAGTTTTTATGATCTGTGAAGACTCACTCCTGTTGCATTCTAAATGAAAAAATGGTGATGAATTTAGTCAGAAATGTGGAATGTATATATAACCAAATTACATATTTTTTAGCAAAGAATTTATGCAGTTGTGATTTAACTTGAGTTCATGAATATTAGGTAAGGTCAGCTACTATTACTTGCGCAAAGCGTGACATGGGCTTAGTACCGTATTGCAATGCTTTTATTATTTTGCTCCCATTTAAGTATTCCCATGCATCTGCGTCTAGTTTAACAGGACAACATACAAGCAGAGTAAGTGTCTGATAAACTAAAAGTCCCAGTTGTCAAAAAGATTCTTAACCTTTGTCCACAGCCAGCTGCATTTAATTGAGACACAGAACACTCATCTTCTAAGACTGTATACTGCTGTTTTGCGGGCAACTAAAAGCTCAGACACTTAGCTATCTTGCTACCGATGTTATTGATGGGGAAATTGTTTAATGACAGTGATCATGAAATATGGTCAGTGATAGATGTACAGTTTAGAAATAAACACCAAACATACTTATCGCTATCTTATAATGTATGATATCATACATGCTATATAGCAACAGCATCAAAGGCACGTTTTTTCCTATTTTTAATCAGGCTGATCTGAATCCGTATACACATTGGAAACAGGCAACTCTATAGAGTATACTTACTAAACTGATCTGTTTCGTTACAGGCTTCAAGCACTATACTTAATTATATCATAATTCCTTCAACTAAACTGAATTATACGACAAACAAGAAAATCAAACTAAGCAAGTGTCATAGTTATTGTTTCACTTGCAAAGACATGTTGCTCAAAGTAGGTAAATGGACATAATTAAGCCGATAAAACCAAAACACGAAATATAGGCCAGTTGAACTTACCTAAGAAAAAAAGAAGGATACATATATACTGCTTTAAAGCAGTATTCAGTATGAACTCATACTGAAGACAACAGGAAGTTGATCATAGGAACACAGTTTACAGTACAACAAACCTTTCTTCAGTAAAATCATGCACTGACAGTCTATCTGGAAACAATCAACTATGTGAATAAAATCACTATGACTTGAGATATCATTTCAGCGTGCAATGGACGTACAGTGTAACGCAGTCGGACGTGGCGAATAAAAATTAAAAACAGAGAAAAATTAACTACATAATCTAGTTATTTAATTAAAAATACATTATGAAATGACAAAATATGTGGTTACTTGAACGCACAAATGACAGTATGCGATACATTAAGTTTACATTGGTTGCGTTGCGGATAAGATCACCTACCTAGGACGGAACCTTGAGGTACCCCACTAAGCACTTGTCTCCAGATGGAGCACTTGAAGTTTATTCTTACTTTCTGCCTACGACCTACTAGGAAATCCTTAATCCATTTTAAAAGAGGTCCGGAAATATCAAGGTTTTTCAACCTCAATAGCAGTCTATTAGTTGGCACCTTGTCAAAAGCCTTACTGAAATCTATGTAGACAACATCCACTGAGTTTCCGTCGTCTAGCGCATTTATCCAAAACTCCCTTGCTATAAGGAGGTTCGTTGTACAAGATAAACCCTTCCTAAAACCATGTTCTACGTTTAGCAAGTTATTGGTTTCCATAAATGCCATTATGGTCCGTTTGACTATTCTTTCCAAGATTTTAACTATAACACTGGTGAGGCTTACAGGTCTGTAAGTCGATGGAACTTGTCGTGGACCTGTTTTAGGTATGAGAGTAACGATTGCGTCCTTCCAGCCCATAGGTAACACACCTTGGTCAAGTGATATATTGCAAATCACAGTCAGTGGGGTCGCGATATACTGTGTGATATGTCTCAAGATTTCGGGGTGTAGTTCATCTGGTCCTGTTGACTTTTCCATGTTTAAAGTGCTAAGAGCCTTAAATACATCGTCTTGATCGAAGTCCACGGTGTGTAGTTGGTTTGTTGACTGTTTATTTTGGTCTGGTTCTTTCTCTAGAGGAGGTTCATGAGTGAAAACTGCCCCGGAATAGTCAGCCATAGCCTCTGCTTTTTCCTGATCTTCCTCTATCATTTCAGTTTCACTTCCTTCTTTAATTAGGTTGGGAATCCAATTGTGTCCTTGTTCTGTAGTTTATGTACTAGAATATTCTCTTAAGCTGCTTGAGTGCAGATTGTGCCAACTGCATTTCATATTTTCTTTCAGCTTCCCACACATGCGTTCATTTAAAAACAGTCAAGATTGATAAGCGAATAATTAACAAGGTCAAAATATTGCTCAATTAGAATGAACAGATTGGCCTGTCCAAAAGATAGAATAAGGTATATTGGCTTAACATAATAACCGACAATACAAGATGGCCTCGTTAGCGATCTGTTTGCATCCGAACAGCACTACTGACAAAGCCATACGCAACCGTTTAAGAGCCGCAGGCGTTAAATTCGTGCAAACTTCGTGGTATCGGCCTTTGCACTCATCGCACTTCATGCTTATTTCAACGGAATGTCGACAGCCCGAATATTGGCAATTGCTTATTTGCACTGTCCAGTCATCAAACAGAGATCTTTTTTAAAACAAGAAATGGATACAATAGTACTCAGAGACAAAAAGATCTATGACCAAAAAAGTGGGAAACTGTGAATTGTTAGAACCAAAAGTACTAACAGATACAATAGAAAAAGGGTACCCAAAAGTACCCTCTATAAACTACTTTAAAGACAGATACGATACTCTAATCGAATACTTTAACTGAAGTAAATTAAAATAAGTGTTGTGGTGGACCAGACATATATGAACGTAAGAAAACGTTAACTAAGTTATAAAGAGTAAATAATGCTGTTAATAGTTATTAATACAACATAAAAATAGGGATTTACTTAAATTCACCAAGTTGTTGCGTGTTCAGATTGGGTCTGGTACTGTAAATCCACAATTATAAATGTTCGATAATTTGTAGTGACTCACGTTTATCACGAGAACACGACTGGTTTAATAAAAACAATTATTATTATAACCAACTGTACCAGTGTTTGTTTTAACGTGCTTTTGTTTGACTGTGCTAATGACAGCTATTTTGTGCTTCCATTCTTATACTTACACTTCAATTGTAACTTCGCGCGAATTCGGTTACCTTCTGTAACCAAGCTTGTATCCTGGCACGATCTCGGCATCCTTTCGATGCCACGAGATCGCCAGCCAAATATAACTCGACTTGGTCCATTAACTGCCTTCTGGTATTTGGCTTCTCGGGGATTTTATGGATCTATTTGGTTACGTCCAACCCTCGCCTTCTGATCTAATTGGCACGTGTTTCTTTGTAGCGGTGTTCATAGTTAATCTCAACTCGACGCCACGCTACAAATTCCATACAGGTTATTGGACTCTCCAATAATGTAAACCACAGTTAGGTATGATATATCCTGACTCACAGTCTACAAATGCGGATAATATTCGATTTACGATGCAATTAACTAAATCACAAGCGAGAGTAGAACAAGGAGTGTATGTGTAACAGAGTGTTTGCGAACAATCACAACTATGTCATGCTATGTGCCACACAACGGAAAGAGTGTTCAAAGTCATTTACTAAGACAACAGGTACAATCATTTAATGATAAATATACATACAGTGAAAGAGTGACAAATACAAATAATATTAAAAACTGTTTACAAAATAAGCTTGTCAGGTCTGTCTCCACAGTGTAAACAGTAGTCTTGATACGTGATAAACAATAAAAATAATATAATTTACCCAGGGTGGAAAAATACCACCGTCCTTTTAAATAGCGCGCGTATTTGTGAGGATAATAACTTACTATGATTTAACAATTTCTTTATCCTCTACTATAATTATTGTACCTAGGTTCCTGCTTAGAGGTATTGGTGACACAGTGCTACTAGCCACGGAAGCCCGTTAAGCGAAAAATTCTTCTATTCCGTCCACAACCATTTAAATGACTACCTACTGTCCTTAAATTTCTTCTCACCCCAACAGCATGGTTTCAGGAAGGGTTACTCTTGTATAACTAACCTGCTGACTGCGGTGGACAGATGGACAAGCATCCTCGATTGCAAAGGAAAGGTTGATGTCATTTACCTTGATTTCTCAAAAGCTTTTGATAAGGTTAACCACTTGTGTCTTATCAACAAGCTCAAACGACTAGGTATCAAACCACCTCTAATCGACTGGCTCACTTCATACCTAAAAAATCGACACTTTAAGGTTAGGGTTAATTTCACTTTATCTCAAGCTATGGAATGTCCTAGTGGGGTCCCCCAGGGCTCAGTACTAGGGCCTCTTCTCTTCTTGATCTACATAAATGATCTTCCTCAACAGGTAACGTCAGACTTATTACTTTTTGCCGACGACGTGAAACTTTGGAGAGAGATACGCAACCAAGACGATATACAGGCACTTCAAGAGGATCTGACTCGACTTCAAAGTTGGGCAGACGATAACGGACTTACCTTTAACACTTCAAAGTGTAAAGTAGTCCATCTGCGACATGTCGCAAACTACAGTTACAACTTAGGAAACTCCTCTCTAGTAATATCCCAAGTCGAAAAAGATTTAGGAGTCCTGGTGCCCCATGACTTAAAGTCTTACGCTAACTGTGACAAAAATGCCTTCCGAGCAAACCTTGCACTGGTAACGTTGAGGCGCATTTTTGGTCAGTTTGACGGAAGAACTTTCCACACAATCTTCAATAGTTTCATCCGTCCCCATTTAGAGTACGGAAACATAGTACTCCCCCCCTCACTCCAAAAGGATAAGGTCACTTTGGAGCGTATCCAACGGCGAGCCACGAAATCAGTTCGAGGACTCAAATCTAAGCCTTACGAAGAACGCCTCCGTTCACTAGACCTTTACCCACTAGAATATAGGCGTCTTAGAGGTGATTTATTAATGGCTTATAGGATTCTTAACACTTCTGGACATCCTCTTAAACACCTACTTAAGCTTAGTTCGAACAATAACCTAAGGGGTAACACCCAGAAACTGGAAACACAACATAGCAAGACGGAATGTAGACACAACTTCTACTCCTTAAGAGTTGTCAAAAGCTAGAACTCGCTGCCGGCCGAGCTAGTCCAAGCGACTTCTCAGGAGTCCTTCAAGAGGCAACTTGACCTATTCTTAAGGACTAAGGACAGCATCGCACTATGATTTACCAATTTCTTTTCCTCTTTTATTGCTAACATACCTAGGTTCCTGCCTGGAGGATTTGGTGATCCCCTGCTACTAGACACGGAAGCCTGTTAAGCGAAAGCTTCTTCTATTCCGTCCACAACCATTTGAACCATTTGAACCATTTGAACGGTTTGAACCATCTGGACCTCAAGGCCAATGATTCCCAAAACTTCAAATGACTACAAACAACCCTTCGAAGGACAATAAAGCTGATTACTTGAGACGCTACCTCGAACCTGTGGGTAGTAAAAAGAAACGGAAAGTAGTTAACGACATCACAGTGAAATACATCTCGTAAGTTTCCAAAATAAGTTAATTCTTCAAAGTGCATTGGGTTCAACATACAAAATATCACTCTACGGTTTCGTTTCCTTATTTTTGGACGTTTGCAGCCAGCTATCTTACTGATATGCAATTTAGAATAATATTTACCTAGTTTCTTCAATGTACTCATTACCAATTGGAATGTTGGGTCAAGTAGAAAGTCTGATCCGGATGCAAGGGATGGAGCATTGAACGTGACTAAATAGATTTGAAGATGTATTGACATTCGTCTATTCAGTTCACTCTAATTTTCCCATGGTTGTCTAGCATCGTTGATCAAGTTAATCCTATCCAAGGTGGTTAAAATTCTTGACAATTCTTATCACTTGACGAGAAATAGTACATAGAATTTCGGAAGTGTACAATAAAATATTCGACAGGCACGCCCAATTTATCAGGCAAAAGTTGAAGACATCTTGTCAAGTGATCACAATAATGCCTCTAACATGTTTTGACGTATGGTGAATTGGTCACTGAGTGTATTTCAAGTCACGACTTCCACCCACACTTATATCACTTCTTTTCGGTATCTAAAGCAGTAGTTTCTCATATCAACTACTAAGACAATTATCATTGCCATGGTAGATCACGTCACAGTGAAATTTGTATCTAGTCATGGACGTTCTAAACCACTTGTATATTCGTCGATCCAAACGAACATCACCAATTGTGACTCTCCGAAAATTAACATCATCTTTCAAAAGTCTCCTAGTAATCCATACGGCATCGATGTTCCATTGAAATTAGGTAGGAAGGGCAGTCAACCTAGAATTGTACGAATAAAAGAGGCTACTCGCTGATTTCCAATGAGTATCAAATTCATCTTCACATAGTTTGAATTCGGATTTGACAAGATTCTACTTCCTTATCGAGTTCCATGGGTTGATGTCATCTGGATTCCACCACATAGGCATATGTTGTCTTTATCCCCGAGTCTAATTTTTTTCCTTCAAGGTCTTCTATATGGTCATGCGTTTAAATTCATTGTCATTGATGTTCAAGTATAGTGTGAGGATTAGACTATTAGGATAAATGTTCAGACTGTTACACCCTACGGAAACCACCTGTCTCACTGAGCAGGTTTTTCACTTGGTAGAGTTTTCGATGCAAAAGCTGGCAACAGTGTAGCTATACTGCTTTGGTGTCAGTATGATATGAACTTTTATGCGTCTAAGAGCTTTATTTAGAAGTGTTTTTTTCACACTACCAGACGAGTTGATCTACAAGACTCCAGAGTGCTGAACTAGCAAAGCTCTGTGCTGATCTCCTCAACCATGTGTCAGCTATATGACGTGTTATACCTCAAGAAACTCCACTAAAACATTTCAGTATATTTCCAACCTCGATCGAGTCCGATTCCTCTTTTTTATTGACTGATTTTTTTTAAGATGTTCGCTTGTTCAATCTTTCATTTAGAAGTATTCATCTAATGTAAGAAAACAATCCTGGTAATAGGTTTAGTTGTCATGTATCAGCTGCCTTCCATGCGTTATAAGTCATCTTTTGATGGTGATTGTATGCGCAATCCAAACAGTACTCATTCTTGTTTCCTCAGTCATTTATATTAGCAGTTATGGCCCAAGGGATTCTAGAAACCTCTCACACTCCGTTGTCATTATGCATAATTGCGTAGCCAAGTCATATCACGTTCCAGATTAACTGTCTATTTTTAGCTGTTTAGTGACACAGTTTTGGCAGTCCAAGAGAAGGATTAGTTTAACTGCTAGGAATCCTTTTGCTTAGATAATTATTGCTGAGAACAGTACGAATTTATGACAATGTCTTATTACTATAATTTTGTTTGTAATCTCACGTAAGCATTATTTAGTTTGATCTGTTTTACAACAGGTGATTGTCTTTAAAATTGTTCATTCTGAAACGGTTTGCTTTCATTGTCAGCCTACTGTCAGATTAAGTTCGTAAACCAGTCTCCCTGTTTATATAGTGGTCTTCATTTATATTGTTTTTATTTTAGTGGTGATCTCCCGGAAACTCTAGATGCATTCTATAAAACAGATGCAGATGGTTTTGAATTTCCTTCAGATCCATCGTTCGTAGAACCATTACCTACAGTGGTTCGACAAGCAACTTTACTCAAAGACAAAAAGTCAAAACAAGGAGACAAATCGAGAAAGGAGGCCGAGTTGGAGGCTAGATACGATGTATGGAATAAAGGGTTTGTCTGGTATTTTGAATAAGATGCATCCTTCTTCTCTATTAGCATCAAAACTCTAGAAGAAACTTATAATAAACTTAAGGAACAAGAATATGAAAGTTCAAAACCACTGGCACGATATGCTAGTGATAAAGATCTTACAGAACATTTGAAGTCACAAATACATTCTGAAGATCCTATGGCTCAGTATTTTGTTCGGAAATCAGCTAAGAAGAAGCGGCAAAAGAAAAGTCACAAAAAGAAAAAACATAAACGTAAGTCCATATAAATGACGTTCAGTGGGTATACAAAGTTTATAGTTGTACTTGTGTATCTATCTGAACTGACCACTTTATCTTACATTAAATGAGTGTTGACCACACAATTCAGTTACCCACTGAATTATCCATAGTGACATCTCAATCGGAGACTTTGCATAGTTTCTAAATCATCCCCGACTTTCTTAAATCGGCAACCTCCCGATGGAAAATAGAAATGTTGATGTAATCTGTGTGATTTTGGAAAAGTTGACCAACAAAGTTATGTAATCACAATCTGAAAACATGATTAAGACACATTTTGCGTTAGTAACTCAACCGTTTTACATGAAAGCCAATAGTAAATAAAGGTAGTAAAAGTTGGACAAAGATTACCGTAACATAAAAACATAGCAATAGGCCTGTTGCTCAAACTGTTAGGGAATAAATAAAATGATATGAACTAAATAAGTCTTTTTTAATTATGTACTTCACCACTACAACAGATTCTTAGCCTATGCATAGGATGCAACTAGAAACTCCCGATAAACCCCAGTGATCAGTGGATTATTGTCACATTTCTATTTTGTTGTCTTAGATTCCCCCCAATTCAGGTCCATTCCAACATGTATTATACGTTAACTGAGGCTTCTATTAGTCATATGCAACATAAATGACAACCATTTATGTAGAAACTATCATCTTCCTAATTATAATTATTAGTGCTATTTTTCTCGTGTCAAAATTATTTAGTCTTGTTCACTTAATACTCATTGTTTATCTTCACTTTTTATTTTTCCTTTGTTTTTTTCCTTCAAAAACTCACTCTAAAATTACTGTTTCATTGGTTGCATATTTCTCATGAGTTGTAGTTTTCAAATCCATCAGTATTTCGGAGTAGTAGCTAAAGTATTTATTTATTTATTTGAACACAAATTTTAGTACAAAAGGGGCACCGAATACTTACGCGCCACACAATTCACTTCGTCTTTATGTGGGCTGTTCTACTGCCCGGGTGCCCAGACCAAAGCAGGTGGTTTTCTTAGGGGGTCACACACAGGGCCTTCGACTTAATGGTTTGATCCACAAGGCAGTGGAGCATCATAAGCAGATTCAGTCCCATGGTAGCCGGTGACTAATAATTGGTTCATAGGCCATTTGTTCATTCAGGATACTGGAGCACATATCCACCATTGGTTTGGAATCAGGCTTTTCCAACTCCTCTAGGTGGACCCTCCATATCCACCAACCCGGTTAAAGCGCCAGGTATTGGCTTTTCGTCCTCTCAATTTCGTAAACAATAGTAGTGCCGCGAGAAGGCAGTGAGTAGGACTTGCCTGGCAGTGATTGTATGCATGTGGTCATGTGAGAGTATTTGGAGAGGGAGAGATGACTCTCCCCACCCTTGGTCGTACCAGGGCATTTGGGGGTATTGCATCATTAACCGAACCACTGTCCTATACTTTGTTAACTTTTATTTGTCTTAAAACATCTTTCAACTTATTTCTAAAAATGAACTCCAAATATTGCAAAACTTACGCTTTCTCACTGAGTTGGATGCTTTTTTATGGTGGATATACGTTTGACCTATTAACCTCTCGTAAATGGCCTTCTCTCTTTTTGCTCACTTATGAAGAAAAAGTCTAACTTGTTTATAATTTATAGCATACGACTACACAAATTGTAGTAATGTTTATTTCAACCTCGTCTATTTATCTGCCTCTAATTCAAATTCCATACTTTGGTCAATAAATTTCAAGATTTTCTAAGGACTAATAATCATTTGAGCAACTAGTTCTTTCGAAGTTTTGCATGTATCATCGATGTACTTTTTCAATGATAGAACTAATCATTTTATCCATCTTTTATTATTTTGATACACCATTTTGTATATGGCTATCTATAGATTCATCTCATTCCGACATCTCACACTCATCCCAATCAGACGATAGTGGTGATGATGAAGGAGAAGATGATCGACCCCGTTACAAAGGTCCTGAACCACCTCCAAATCGTTATAATATATGGCCTGGTTTCCGTTGGGATGGTGTGGATCGTAGTAATGGCTTTGAAAAAAAAATAGTTGAAGATCAAACTCGCCGACGAGTTGAACGTGAAATAGCTCAACGCTGGGCAGTTGAAGATATGTAAAATAATAACTTACATTATTATTGTTTGTAAAGTTTCTATTCATTGCACGATGTACAGATGTATTATGATATTATATTTTTTCACATTAGAGACTTTTAGTTCAGTCTTGTAAGTAAAGCGTTGTTTGGTGTGCCGCACATAATCAGCCTTTTTGTGAAATCATGAACTGATGATTGTTCACTTTAAGTAACTTATTTTCTTATCAATCCTAGAAATATAATAGAATTCGTCACTTATTGAGCTTCAAATGGTTATTATCTGTCAGTCTGATCTATTCTCTGAACTCATTGCTCATTGTTATGTAGTAACTTAATTACTCGATTCATAAGAACAGAAACAATGTCGCAAAGTAGGCCATAGGGGAAATCGTACGGTATCTCCCTCTGAAATGAATACTTAACTCATCTCTAGCAGCCGAGAGGAAAAGAACAGCTAGTCTTTTTGCAACCTCATCTGTTGACGAAACGGTGCAAAACACATGTCTGTCAATAAGAGATTCATGGGTATTCTTGAGAATAAGACGCTATGGATCTCGGTCTTGAAGCGTCACAATCAACTTCACGCAATTGTTTTGAAAAATCAAGAAAGAGACTTTTTACATCATTTTTCTGAATAGTTCTGTTTGAACTTTTGGAAGCTTTTGCATTTCTCAGCACCTGGTTAGTTATTATTTTATTCAAGTTAATGGGATTAGAGGTTAACGTCAACGTTTTGTTTGTTTTAGTATATGCCTCTAAATATTTTAGTGTTTTGTTTTCTTATTCAGTAAGTCAAAACAAACTCAGTTGTAGTAGGTCCTCTAAGCCTGGTTCATAACCTGTCATCGGGATTATTTCTCTTCTAGTGATTCAATAAAGCACTCGGTTTTCAGTCGGCCTCATGTTATATATTTTTGAGGAGTTGGGAAATATATCACTACCCTTCACAGTAAGATTCTGCCTCAAACTCAAATTTGTAAACATATATTCTTGCTTCCTGAGTTGATTACATCATTCACTTATAGATGCCGATCTCATCTTTGTATTATTAGAACCCTATTGTCCTAGTTGACTAATCGTCTTTGGCGTTTGCTTATTTTTATTTAAAAGAAAAGGCTTGTTAGCTTTTAACAGATTCATTTACTGAATGATTTGTTTAACTAAATAAACTAATATGAAATGTTACAATGCTTAGTCTTATGAAGGCAACCGAATTATCAGAATTATTTAACACCATACAAATGATTAGCTTCTCGTAATCTGTTCCATGGACTTGTATGTATCTTTTTACCATCTGGCCAAGTATATGTTTGTGCATACTCTGATTGTTCCATTTTATTCAATTCATACTGTTTGATAGGACCATATCCATCTAGTTTAATTTCTGAATGTGGATTAATTTGATAGCCTGGTTTACATACACGTAGTTGACCATGATTTGTTAAAACTTCTGATACACAATGACTTGGTTTTGTGAATGTTGAACGAGTTTCTGACTCACCAGGATACTTGATACATATTCCTGCTTGTTCCTGTGTTTTCGGGAAATGAAGGTAGGAGAGGATAAGGAAACTAGCTAATTTCCAGTTGACATTTTATACTACTAAAACTGGAAATTTGATAGTCATATAAAAACTGGGACATTTTAATAATAATAATTCGATAAATTGTACGCTTAAGTAGGAATGCAATGTTTATCGTATATAAACGTCATCTCGATTATCAACTAACTTGCTATAATAATCTAAACGTCAACAACAAATATAGAAGTTGAAACTGGTGGCCATTCATGGGCTGACATCAACCGAAGCAACATTGAAAATCGAAGCTCATTGTACAGATTTTCGTCCAAGCTGTCGCATCAATAACCCAACAAGCATTGAGAATAAGGACGTTCAGGGATAGCAGTGTAGATGACTAAGTTCAGACCGAACAGTCTGCATTCTTAGCGCCATTCAACTATCACTGAAGCATTGTTGTGACCCCCTACGTCCGATTTGCCCACTTAACATGTTTACCTCCTATACGCTGACTAGTCAAAAAACTGAGGAATGACTAGGAAGCTTTAGTGGACAAATGTGTCTTAAGTATTTGTAACTCCGTCCTGGCGGTACTGTATAAAGCCTTGTTGATGCAATCTGATTGGGATGTACTCTATTGTCGTAAACAGTGGTTGGAGTTGTTGGATGATGTGGTTCGGAAACGGACATAATAGTACGGACGTCCTCATTCTTTGTCTCCCCTTAGATTTCGAGGTTTAGAAATCATCATATACTTTTCTATTCTACGGATTCATTCTTTCTCAAATCATATTGTGTACGCGTAATGTTCTCCACTACCATTGACATCGCTGGTACTTTTACTATTATAAACATCCGCTTTGATAATTTCTGCTTGTGTTGATACGGGGTGTGTCAACTTGAACTAATGGATATATATCCCATATTCTATGTTACTTAGAACTGACCGACTCCACAACAATAGCTAGGTTTATTCAGTATCATACAGTTTTTAGAATGCGAAACTGAACAAATATGTACCGAGTGTTTCTTCAACATCTTTGAAAAGTTTAATTAACGAATGTGTCTGGTCTTGTTTTGTTGATGACTGACTAAATTAACAAATGTTCAAGGAATTACCTGAACCGTTGATGGCCATTGAACTTCATTCTGCTTTGTTTCATAGCTTCTATTTGATTGGTCTGAAGCATCACAAGTTATTTGATTGTAATTGGGAATATTAAATCGTGGAGCAATACAAGGTCTTTTCTCTTGACTAAAATCAGGTTGATCTACCTGTAAGTATGCAAATTTTAATGTTTTCAGATGTATGAAATACAATTCACCATATGGGCAAAATAAATTAATGACCAATTTCATCCCTTTGTGAACATTGAACTCTGGCTTCCTCTATATGTTCAATAAACCAATGTATTATATCGCCATATGAGTCTACGGTGAAAAAGAGAGTGTTACTATTTGTGAATGTAACACTTAAACAGCTACTCTATCGATGAAAGATACTCACTTAGGAATGACATGATCTGTGGTGATAGTATAAATTATTACCGAAAATATTCATGATTTCTAACTGATTAGTGGAAATGTAAATGATGATTTGTCCTATCACAGTGATCATTCGTTTCACAATCCGTTCTTTAGATAGAGTTTGAACCCGTCTATTGCACATTGTGAAGGTTATAGGTATTCAAGCCAATAATTTTCCAGTTTGTAATGTACCTATCCATTCCTTTGTTAAGAAAGATGTTTGTGTTTAAGCTGATTATTCACATACATACACACTTTGTTCCAAGTGATTTAAATTTTTCGTCTACTCTTTACTGTAGAAACATTTGTTCATCTAATTACCATGTTTTTATATTCTTATCATTACTAGTACACTTGACATCTTACTACCGATTTGTACCTTCTACAATTCGTTACGTAATCTGTCCGAATTTTATCAATAACTGAGAAATTCAATAGTTGAATTCATGAATCCATTAAAGCTAGACCTCCATGAAAAACCTGAGAGCTCTGGATGACCGTGCAAATGGTGTGTATATTTTCAAGTATAGGAACTTGATGACTGATGTATAAACCAATAATAAGTAAACTAATGCCAAATTATATACTGATGAGATGTTCCTCCTACATGAGTGAAGTTAGTTCGTATAAAGTCATTAACGCTATAGCTTAGTGTAATAACACGTTCATTATTTTTAGGCCTGTTATGACGCCTACTCTGCTGAAAATAAGTTCTTTACTTTGATTTGGCTATGACTTTTTCAAACGATTTCTACGCCGTGATATTTCCAATATCTCGATTTATAGTATCAGAAGGCATAAAATGGATGGTTTTAGATACTTGGTGACTGTTTTTGCAGTTATCTATAGAAATGGAATTAAAGATCAATTCGTACGAGAACTTTTAGAATTCTGAACGTTCACAACTAAAACATTTTTGATACGAAACCGAATAGCACGTTTATAGCTTTAGAAATATCATGGTGTGTTTGTCAAGAACTTCTACGAAATAGCAGCACACTTATATAAGTTTTTGAGCAACTTTAAGTTTACGTGGACTAGGATTGCCTAAAAAAACGTTCAACCGGATCAAAAACATGCTACACAACCTCCAGATGACTTCCAGATTGCCTGAACTACAGACGCAAGTGATCATCGTATAGGTATCGTCTTTAGTCAGTCTGATAGAGTGGTGGAATATACGAGTCGCGTTCTCACATCCGCTGGACAGAAGTATTCAACTATCGAAAAGGAGTGTTTAGCAATCTTGCGGGCAGTAGACAAATAGAGACCGTGCCTTTTAGGTAGACAATTTCACATTGAGACTGACCATAAACCCCTGCAGTGCCTGAAAGCAGCATGGGATCCCCGTGGGAAGTTGGTGCGATGGATGAACGTCGGCAAGAGTACGACCATCGGCCATGTTTCAGGAAAAGAAAACGTAATGGCGGGCTACTTGTCAAGACCAGACATGGATGCCGAGCTTCCATTGACAGCATACCCATTGAATAGTTTAGAGGGAGACACATGAGAACCCGTCCGGCAGCAGAAAGCTGACCCTAAGCATCCAGTAGTAATCAGAGTGATAAAAGTGGGAGCAGACGAACAGTGAAGAAGGAGGTAATAAATTTGCTTCGGCAAAAGGAAAGACTGAGAGTGAACATATATGGAGCTTTGATCTGGCAGGACGATGACAAAAATTTGGTGGCTGTGATCGCAAAAGACTGGCGGCGTAAGATGATACATGAATGTCACCAGGTAGCGCATACGAGCGTCGCAAGAACGATGAATTTAATACGGCAAAGTGCATACCGGCCAGGCATGAGAGACGATGAGGCCCAAAACGTGTTAACTTGCCAGTAGTGCCAACGAATGAAAAGCGATCGATATACACAACTGCCATTACAGTCGATCACAGTAACCGCATTCGGTGATCTGTGGTCGGTGGATGTGATGAGACCGTTTCCACAGACGGCGAGCGGTAACCAGTACCTACTATTGATGACGGAATATGCTGCACGGTGGGTGGACGCCATACCCATTGCAGAACAGCGGGCAAAAACTGATAGCGAGTTAGTTTTCTA